GGGCGCCGCGAGCTCGTCGTCGCAGGGCTCGGCGGCGGCGGACGGAGAGGGACCGCTGCTGCTCAAGAGGCAGAAGCGGCCGGCGGCGCGGCGCTCGCTGGTGCGCTACCTGAAGGGCCGCGAGGTGGGCGCGCGGGGCCGCGCCGGGCTCCCGGGCTTCGAGGGCGAGCTGCGCGGCTACGCGGTGCGGAAGCTGCCCGAGCTGCTGCGGGAGCGCGAGCTGGCCCTGGGCACCCTCAACAAGGTGTTCGCGTCGCAGTGGCTGAACGCCAGGCAGGTGGTGTGCGGCACCAAGTGCAACACGCTCTTCGTGGTGGACGTGCAGTCGGGCCAGATCACGCGCCTCCCCCTGATGCGCGACCGGGGGCCCGGGCTGGCCCGGGCCCAGCCGAGCTGCGGCATCCACGCCATCGAGCTGAATCCCTCCAAGACGCTTCTGGCCACCGGGGGCGAGAACCCCAACAGCCTGGCTGTCTACCAGCTGCCCACCCTGGACCCCGTGTGCCTGGGCGACCGCCATGGCCACAAGGACTGGATCTTCGCCATCGCCTGGATGAGTGACACAGTGGCTGTGAGCGGCTCCCGCGACGGCACCGTGGCGCTGTGGCGGATGGACCCGGACATGTTCAACGGCAGCATCGCCTGGCACAACGACGCAGGGCTCCCCCTATATGCCCACATCCGTCCGAGGGACTTGGAGACCATCCCCAGGGCCAGCACCAACCCCAGTAACCGCAAGGTACGGGCCCTGGCCTTCAACCGCAAAAACCAGGAGCTGGGAGCGGTGTCCCTGGACGGCTACTTCCACCTGTGGAAAGCCCGGAGCACCCTGTCCAGGCTGCTGTCCATCAGGCTGCCCTACTGCCGAGAGAACGTGTGCCTAACCTACTGCGACGAGTTGTCCCTGTACGCGGTGGGCTCCCAGTCCCACGTCTCCTTCCTGGATCCGCGCCAGCGCCAGCAGAACATCCGGCCCCTGTGCTCCCGAGAGGGCGGCACGGGCGTGCGCTCGCTGAGCTTCTACCAGCACCTCGTCACCGTGGGCACGGGCCACGGCTCCCTGCTCTTCTATGACGTCCGCGCTCAGAAGTTCCTGGAAGAGAAGGCCTCGGCCAGCCCAGACTCCTCTCCTGGGCCCGCAGCGAGGAAGCTCAAGCTCACCTGTGGCAGAGGCTGGCTCAACCACGACGACCTGTGGGTGAACTACTTTGGCGGCATGGGCGAGTTCCCCAACGCGCTCTACACTCACTGCTACAACTGGCCTGAGATGAAGCTCTTCGTGGCTGGGGGGCCTCTCCCTTCAGGCCTGCACGGGAACTACGCAGGCCTGTGGAGCTAAGGATGGCCGCCCTGTTCTCCAAGTGCCCAGATTTACCTTCCAGTGCCCTCCCACTTTCCTTCTTCACGCTTGTGTTTGTGCTTTTAACTCAGTGTGGCTTTTGTCTTCCAAGTGGAAAGTGCACAGCTTACCTGTGCTTAGTTTTGGGCAGACAGAGAAAGAGAAAGAGAGAAAAAGTGGTCTTTTGGGCAATCAAAACATGGCTTTAATATTTATCTGCACCTCCCCCAACACCACCATCTTTTCTGCCTTCTTTTACAAAGAATTTTGGCTGATCCTTAATTGTGTTTTCTCTTGAGTGATTCACACATGCTCTTTCTCTGGGTTGATGTAGTCATGGTTCCCACTACAATTCAGTACTTTAGTTTTACCAGTATTTCAACAGTATGTTAAGGTCTTTTACACATTTCTGATGTATGATATTTCGGGAAAACATGTGCTATAAAGTGTCTTTTGGCCTGGACTGAGGAACTACCTATCATATAACAGGGCAGGTTTATAGCCCTGCTCCAATTAGAAAATGCATTTCAAGTTCTAGATTGCTACCATTTGGGGCGTGTTTCATTTGGATGTTGGAACTTAGTGTTGTTTGTATATTGTTGGTGCATAAAATACTTTAAAAATATGTTCTCTTAGTTAAGAAATCTTACAATGGTGTTCATCCTATTAATCACAATTTTGATTAATCAGTAAAAATTTAGCATCAATACCCCAAGGCCCTCAGCCTTGTTGTTTAAAGCTGCTATATTATGGCCTGCTTTCTTGGGTAGCATTTATGCTACAGATTTTTGGAGCTAATCAAAAGTGGCCTATATGTGGCAGGACAATCAGGGAGGTACTTTTTGGGGTAAACATTCCTTTAAAGTTCAGGTAACATTATCCAGGCAGCCATTTACAGAGAAAGACTGGCTGTTGTGCTCAATGTAGATGGTGTTGACAATTTTTTATTGTATACATGGATAATTCTTTGATCTGGATTATGTGATCTATTGCAGAAAAAAATAAATAAAACATGTTCAGCATTTTAGCAATTAAGTGCTAAGCTAAAGTTTTTGAATGCTTAAATATACACTTTATCTTTTCTTAATTGTCCTTCTAGGAATATATGAATCAAAGTCAAAATCTTCCAAGAGAGAAACTGAATTGAAGCTGAAACATCAGCTATGCACACATTACTTTGTACGTTTGTTTTTGAAAAGCAAACTTATGCTCCTATCATGGGTTAGAACATTAAATAACATTTTGAACACCTTATCTAAATATACTTGCTATAGGTTAGGACAAGTTAGGTGTCTTGTGTTTTTAAGATGATTTATCAAACTGTTTTTCATTTACACCAACATACATATTGTGCCTATAACTACCTACTCAAATATACTGTATATTTGTGTATGTGTATATATTACTTCTCATGTGAGGAAAAGACATAGATGTATACCATTTTACATACGCAGGTGTTTCTAATATTTTAAACTACATCTCTCAAGACTTCTCACTTGGTCTTTGTTGTTGTTTTGTTTTATCTTAATTTAAATTAAGCAATACATGCACATGACCAAAAAAATCATACTTTATAAAAGGTGTACAGTGAAAAGTAAGTTTCACACTCCAGGATCCCTGATCTCCTGCCGGTAGATCACAAGCAGTACATTTTGTATGTGTATCCACTTAGCGATAGTCTATGCATATATAAGGATACCTGTGTGTATGCAATTTTCATACAAATGATAACGTGCTGCACATATCTGTGACTTTTTATCACAAAATCTTAGAGATTTTTTCTTATACTTATCTACCTAATTCATTTTAATTGTATAATATTCCCCTGTATGGTTGGAACGTACATTATCTATTCATTACACCTTTGATGAGCATTTACATTGGTTCTTATTTTCTGTTACTATAAGCTATTCTGCAGTGATTCCTTAGGTGCATAATCTTTGTGCACATGTGTAAGTATGTCTGCAGGATAAATTCCTAGAAATGGAATTGCTGGGTCAATTTTATATTTAATAGCCATTGGCAAATTACCCTCCAAAGAGGTTCTACCAACTTAACCTGCCATAAATAATGTATGCACGCGTGCTTCACCACACCCTTGCCAAGAGTGTCAGCAAATTCTGTGCTCTTTGCCAATCAGATATCCTCTTGATCTTGATCCTTTCTTTCTAAGCCACTGTGGCTGAGTTAATTAGATTTGTGGTCAGAATACCAAGTAGGTTCTGAAACAAAGATCAAGAATATGAGGAAATGAGGGCAAGCAATAAAAATACTGTCAAACCAAAGGCAGAGAACATCTACAGTTCAGGCTCACATATCTGGAGATGGATTACAAAAGACTACATTCCTTAGATACTTAGCTGGACCTAGTAGGGTTTCCTGGTTTATTGCACCCTGGTTTCACTTGTATTCAATGCATCAGATGTCGCAGAAGAAAATCCAAGTAGGAGATGATGAGATCCTGAACTAGGATATTTGAGGTAAGTGTGGAGAGGGAGGAAGTTATTAGAAAAATGAGGAGAAAATAAAATGAACAAACAGTATTTGGTATTTAATGTGGAGGGTGAAGAAAGCCAAAGAATTTAGGTGGACTCCAAGGCTCTGGCTTGAATGTAAATGAATAGTGGCAACAAATGAATATAGAGAATATAGGCATAGAGGATGCAACGTGGAGGGTGATCAGCTCGACTGGGGACATGTTGAATTTGAGATGCCTATGTGACACCAGGAGAACGTACCCAGTGAAGAACTGACTGTATATCCCGGAATGCGATTTCTCACTGCTGGGAAGGTGAGTGATATGAAATGCTGGGAAACTCTCCCTCTTAGGGGCAAGCAGAATAGAAAAGCCTATTAAAGATCCTAAAAAGCAATTAAGAAGAAAAAAGGGGAGGATATACAATAGAAGAGGCTTATTTTACCCAAATGCCATGACCTCATCAATCTGAGACAACAAAACATTTCTTTAATACTAAAATGATAATAATTTTCGAGTCTCTTCCTCAGTTACAAAGGGCAGTTTTTCTCCTAGATATCCTCCCTAAATACTTACCGAGGACCTTGCATTGGTCCACTAATTAAGCTTTTTCATTGGTCAACTGCTGGTACCATCTTAGAGAATGAAAAGTCAGACCTTTGTCACAAAGCAAGACTTCACAGTTAGTGATTTCTGGACCACTTAGCCTGCTGGTCTAAGATATCTCCAGCACTCCCAACAGCCTGCTGGCCCCAGCATCCCAGGCAGCCATGCCGAAGCCCTGGCAGTCTCACAGAGGTGGAGTATCCCCTCACCACCAGCTTCTACTAGCCCGTGTTTGAGTTCCTGCCTCAATGCCACAGGTGCAGGTCTCTGCTAATTTTCCCAGGCTGCCAAAGGACAAAACAGGTGTCCAGTGGAGGATGTTCCTTCCTCAGCCTCACAATCCCCAAAGCACAAATACAAAGAATTAGAAGTGAGAAAGAAGAAATTGGCACAGGCATGGATTTATTTATTAGGCAGATAAATGTAAAATCTGAGTGAAGAAATTATCAGAAGATACAAATAACTAAACTTTTTCCAAGAAGAAATAATAAACCAGAACAGATCATTAACCCTAGAAAATTGTGAATTTTTTTTAATCTGCCCTTTGCTCCTAGAAAATCACACACAAACACATAATTATAAACATATCTTAGACATGCTAGACCTGATGGTCTCACAAATAAATTATTTAACATTGTCAAGGAGTATTTAATTTTGAGCAGCTTCAGAGCATAAAGAGAAAAGTTTACTTTTCTTTATGAGGCCAGCATAATATTAATAACAAACCTGAGTAAAATTGCAGAAAATGAGAAGTGACCAGTTTTACATATATAGATAAATAATGCAACTTATCCTTTAAAACTGCTGTGTATCAGTGTATTAAAAGGAAACCATATCATGGCAAAGTGACTCTAGTTCCTTGAACGCAGATTGTTCACAATTGAGAAATCTATTATTGCAATGTATGATATGAACAGGTCAAATGAGAAGACATATTCAAGTTAATAAATTTCAATAAATAACAATAAAATCTTACTACAATTCTGATAAAATTCTTAGTGAAGTATGAGGAAATATACTCTTCATATGGTAAGTGTGTGTGTGTGTGTGTGTGTGTGTCTGTGTTGTGTTTCAAACCTGAACCAGAATCCTCTTTAAGGGTATAACATCAGAGTAACTCCTATGAAAGGGGGGGAACAAAACAAGGATTCTAAAAATCACCACCATTTTAAATATTATTATGAAAATTCTAGATACTGTAATTAGGAAAGATAGCAAAATAAAAGGTATAAATATTGGAAAAGAGAAAGCACTTATAATTATTTGCAGATGATATGACTGTAAAAAAAATCCAAAAGGGCCAACTGAAAAATTTGTTAGGAACAATGAAATGCTTTAATAAGATGTTCAATTTTGAAATTAATATATAAAAAATCAATACTTTTCTATTTTCACTTATTTACTCATTCATCAAATATCTCTTGAATGCTTACCATGTACCAGGCACTGTTCCAGGTGCTAGAGATACTATGGTGAACAAGACAAGCAAGCCATGCCCTCATAAGGCTTGCATCCCTTGAGAAGGAAAGAGACAATAAACATATAAACCAGTAAATGTGTATAGTATGTCAGATGGTTATCAATGCTAGTAAATAAAATAAATCACAATAAAAGAGAATAGGCAATAGGAATTCCAGGGGAGATGCAATTTTATTTTATTAATTTTTTTATTGAGATATAATTCACATATAACCTTATATTAGTTTCAGGTATACAACATAATGATTGATATATGTATATATTGTGAAATGATCACCACAGTAAGTCTAGTTAATACGCATCACCACACATAGTTACAATTATTTTTCCTTGTGATGGTAACTTTTAAGATCTACTTTCTTAGCAACTATCAAATATGCAATACAGTATTACTAACTATAGTCACCATGCTGTACATTAAATTCCCAGGACTTATTTATTTTATAACTGGAAGTTTGTACCTTTTGACCCCCTTCACCCATTTCGCCCACTCCCAACCCTCCACCTCTGGCAACCACCACTCTGTTCTCTGTATCTATGACTTCATTTTTTTTTTTTTTTTTAGATTCCACATATAAGTGAGGTCATATGGAATTTGTCTTTCTTTGTCTAACTTATTTCACTTAGCATAATGCCCATGTTGTCACAAATGGAAGGATTTCCTTCTTTTTTATGGCTGAATAATATTTCATTTGTATATACATACCACATTTTCTTTATACATTCATCCACCAATGGACACTTAGGTTGTTTCAATGTCGTGGCTATTGTAAATAATGCTGCAACGAACATCAAGTTAGTGTTTTTGTTTCCTTTGGATAAATACTCAGAAGTGGAATTGCTGGATCATATGGTAGTTCTATTTTTAATTTTTTGGGGAATCTCCATATTGCACCAATTTACCATCCCACCAATAGTGTACAAGGGTTCCCTTTTCTCCACGTCCTTGCCAACACTTGTTATTTCTTGTCTTTTTAGTTAAAGATATTCTAACAGGTGTGAGGTGATAGCTCATTGTGGTTTTGATTTGCATTTCCCTGATTAGTGATGTCGAGCACCTTTTCATGTACCTGTTGGCAATCTGTGTGTCTTCTTGGGAAAAATGTCTGTTCGGATCCTCTGCCTGTTTTTCAATCAGATTTTTTTTTTTTTTTTTGCCATTGAGTTGTACAAATTCTTTATATATTTTGGATATTAACTCTTTATCAGATATATGATTTGCAAATATTTTCTCCCCTTCCATAGGTTGGCTTTTCATGTTGTTGATGGTTTCCTTTGCTGTATAGAAGATTTTTATTTTGATGTAGTCTCTTTAACACATTTTGAGTTGAATTTTGTGTATGGTGTAAGATAGTGGTCCAGTTTCATTCTTTTGCATGTAGCTGTCCAGTTTTCCCAACATCACTTATTGAAGAAACT